TAATTTACGGATGTAAAAATATATAAGAACTTATTTTCAGACATACACAGTATACATATAAAATTTCATCAAGAGTTCAGTAATTCAAGATGCAACTATATAAATTATATCGCTATTGAAAAATAAGGGTTGATTTTAGAATGTGAAAGTTTAGGATACATATAGAAAAACTATATATATATATATATATATTTATTAATGCCAAATCATAAAAGAAATAACAATATGCAAAATAAATATACAATATTTTATTGGGGTGGGACACCCTTATAACTTATACGAGCATAAAAAACAACCTATTTTCACAACTACCAAAAAAAAACTTTATAAAATATCATTAAAATCTGTTCAGTACTTTAGTATTGCATCGCGGACAAACAACGTGACCAGAATTTTGATGCTTCATACCTTAGCGTTTGATTTTTATCAATTATCTAATTATTTTAAACTTATGAAGTAGCAGTTACTAAGTTATTTACACGCATATCTTTCTAATACTCGTATAATTGACTATTAGATTATCTATTATAAAGGAAACGGCGCTTTAAACGTTTATGTTTCATTCCGTTTCTATTGCAAAACGTACAGGAATTAAGTTTTACGATCACTCGATTGCATTTGACCGTGAAGTTAGTTAAATATCACTATTATTTGTATGACATTGGAACCTTTCGAGTTATTCAAGAACGTGGAAACAAATTGTAACATAATGGACCTTTGTTGGAAAGGACAAGATAATTTGTGAATATATATATATGATTTATATAATAGCTAGCTATGCCCACGGTTTCGGTCGCAAGAAATTTGTAGCCAAAAGCGCAAAAACTAGTGAACAGATTTTGACTAAACTTTACAATAATATAGCTTATACATCAAAGTAACACATATTATTCTCATGTATAAGCTATATTACTGTAAAGTTTCGTCAAAATACGTTCAGTATTTTTTGCGTGAAAGAGTAACAAACATCCATACTCCCAAACTTTCGTTTATAATATTAGTAGGATTCTTTACTACTAATTTCAATTTTTTTACAACTGGGTACATAATTATATTTACTCCGACACGCGTTATGACGGCCTCGATGGTCTAACGGTTTCACACCGTCTTACTTCCTATGGTCGCGGGTTCGATTTCTTGCATGGCACGAATATTTGTATTCATGAGTATGATTGTTTGTATCGGCCTGGGTGTTTTCTTTTTATGATATGTATGTATTTACAAAACATATATATGTATAAGTTATCTAGTATCCATAACACAAGTTTTGGCTAGCTTAACTTGGGACTAGAGGGTGCTGTGTGAATTATCCTGAGATCTTCATTGAGTTTTATGTAATATATTTATTTATACTACAATAATATTATCGAGACATTAAGTATGTGACGTTGTAGGAGATAATCTTTAGATCTACTGAACAAACTTGTAAATTCTTTTACTATTAGAAAACCAAGTTATTTGTTAGTATCATAGGCTATATAACATTACGCTAAAATCAGTAGGAGCTCCTGCAATGCAAAATATCTCAAAAATGGGAAAATGTAACACAGGCAAAGTTACACGGGTCAGCTAGTAACGTAGGTATATAATATAGTGTACTGAATAATAAAGTATGAAGCTTTCAGCAATAAGGCCGCCTTATTGTGATTATGCATGTGTTCTTTAAAATATTTTTTTATGGTTTTTCTTACTGTATGTTAATGGTAAATTCTATGGGGGATATCGTGGACAGGAAGAGAACTCCACAATTTGATGGCACTACACACGTAAGAGTCTGCGAATCTGTGCGCGCTTAATGTTAGGTATTGTTGCATTATAGCTACCACTATTTCATTTTTTACGACTGCAACTGTGAGAGCCGCATCAGACAATGACATGTATTGTAAACAATACAAATACAGTGTGAATACAACGTGTAATGGATTTAACTTAATTCCTTATAGGTGCAGCCGAATTAGATAATGCATTATTGATAGAGATTGATAGAGCGTCGTAGCATAGTCGGTACTGTTACAACGTACGGCGAAAAGCTGTGATTCCAAATCTGACTAACACTAAATAAAAATAAAAATCCTGGACAATTAACATAGCTTAGTCTAGTCCCATGGTAAGCAGACCTTGTGTATATGTAATACGTGCTGTGATATATTCATTAAAAAAAAACGGTAATATCATAATATCTGACATATATTTTGTTTTGGACTACTTTAATGCTGTTGTCCGCTGCTGGCCTTTACAGCTTCACAGGACGATAAAGAACGAGTGCAGATGGCACTCCAAACCCGCGGAAGGACTTATGAGGAGCGGCTAAAAGCCAACTCCTGCCTGACAGATACGACTTTAGTCTGAGAACATCGCTAGGGGTTCAAATTAGTTTCGATTCTCGTTTGAATTGAACGAGGGATAGACACATATTTAGGTGTAGTTGAAGGTTATATATGTTTAATATTTTTCAATGTAAATGACTACTATGTAATTAATTATTTGTCTATACTTTGTTAACATATTGCAAAGAACCTAGTTTTCATAGTGTGTTTCAATTATCTTATAGTCCATTAATCATTGTTTAGTATTCATTAATCAACAGTAAGTGTCAAACATACCGTGAGACCCACAAAATGTATATTACTAGGTGAGCCTGCAATTTTGTCCGCGTGGAATAATGACCTTCTAAGACTCTGCCAAGAGTGAACGACAAAAGAAGACACTGTTGGCAGAGTGGTCGTGGCTTCTATGATGGTATCTCTTCGTTGTGGTTATTGGCTACAGAACTTCTCACAATTTGCATAAGACACATACGTACAAAAAGCTTTTAATGAGCTTTAATAAAAAAATATTATTCTAGCTTCAAAACTTACGAATTTCTAGACAAGCTTTCATCCCCTACAAAATTTTTACAAACTTTGAATGCTGTATTTATATTTAATCAACAGCCTAAAAAATAAGTTTCAAGCTTCTAGATTTAAACGTCATTTTTACTACTTACTTATATTTCCATCCAACCATTCAACTCCCCGTACAACCCTTTTTCCTTTCTTTGTATTTAATCAGCAGCCTAAAAAAGTAAGTTTCTAGCTTCTAGATTTAAAAATGTCGATATCTCCATGCAACTTTTCACCTCCCCTTTCAACCCCATATAGCTCTTTTACGCATTACAAGGTACCCTATACCTTTCTTAGGGTCTAAACTATCTGTGTACCAAATTTAATTCAAATCGGTTCAGTTGTTTTGGCGCAAAAGCGCGATGAACAGAGTTAATTCCATATCTCCACATTCCCAGCACATCACAGCTTGAGTACATCTTTCTTATTTAACCTTCTGACAGCAAACAAAAACGATGTGGTGATATATTAAATTTTCGTAACACATGGCGCCATTTTCTACTCATTTATACATAAATCTTACATCCTCTATTGACAGATTCTTACCTACACCTAAGTATATGTTATAATGCATAAATTGTTTGCTCTTGACCAGCAAACAAAGATTATGTGAAATGATACTTCACATTTTCGCAACATAATCCGGCAGGTGTCGCCACTGTTTTTAAAATGGCGACCATACAACGTAAATTACTAGTCTGCTCTGTTATATACTTACTCATTTTGTAATACGTTAATGTTCGTAGCTTGGTATTTCTATAAGGATTGTTGTACACTGTAATGCGTATGCTATGCTATAAGATAGATGCTAAATAATGTATATTATTTTGGCATGTCACATATTTACAAAAATTACGTGTCACGTTGTTTTTCCGCGTCCTACACTACTGAACCGATTGCAAATTTGATTTGCACATTGTGTGCAATTTGATCCAACTTGAAAGATAGTATAGCTTGCATCTCAATTTATAGTCGCAATATTATTTTATTGCAAATTATTTGTCTATTATTAGCTATAACAACGCGTGGCCGGGTCTGCTAGTAAAATATGTAAGTAAACCTGTTGAATTAGTGCTGAATTCCAAATTTGTATTGACAATCCTAAAACTATAATAAATATTGAAGAAAATTAGGCAAGTTTCTTACTTATTCATCTTGATTGAATCTGTAATTCTAAATTGACGCAAAAGGAATAAATAAATAAAAAAAAGAAGTGACTACGAGGAATGGATGAATATTACTGTTTAATAAAAATAACTACTCCAAAGCTTATATTAAATTTATTTTAATAATGGGTTTTTTTTTCTATTTAACTTGTCTGAAATTATATGTTGTTTTAGCACAGAGATTTGTGTAAAATATTAATTTATATTCATGTATATATTTGAAGCTAAGTATATTTTGACTTAAACAAGTAATTAAAGCAAATATGTAATATATTATTAAAGTACGTCATTTAGTGTGGCACAGCCCTGAAACGACGTAATGTTTTTAAATATTTATGTAAATTTGTTGGCTTCCTAAAATGCAATACATTTGTCATTTTTTAATATTCAAGGTTCCACCATCGCCAAAAAGTAAAAAACAGAGTAAAAGTAAATTTCCATATCAGTTGCATAATAAAATGCATTCATTACACCTTATAGATACATCTTGCATGACGTTGAGAAACGTTGCGTTCTAAATATTTATTTGTTTGCAGTATTAACTATTGCAGTAAGGTGTTTGTTTAGTATAGAGATATTGCTAATCGAAAGTTCTAGAATAAATTAATTCGTAATTTAAAAACTGAGACGTAAAATAATAACATATTTCAAAACGTAATTATGGAATACTCAATGCTTATTAAACGATGTTTTTGTCCGAGAATGCTGTTTTAATGAGTATAGTGATTACTATTAAGGCTTGTATTTCGAAAGACAAAGATCTCAGAGATGTGGATTGTCATAAGAAAAGGTACGTCAAGTTTCGTCATGCAGAGTACCGGCGACTACTTATCCGTACTATGCAAATGTAGGTCATATAATTTTGCGTTTCGCAAATAAATAACTAGCTGTGATCGCTAATATATCATTAGGTACTAGACCAATAATTATTACGAAACAATAAAAATACATTGTTTTAAATTAATTGGCTGAGCCATTTTTTATTTTATTTTACATCAGTTCGTATAAAAATACTCGCTTCCAAAAATTAAAAGTAACACAAAAATAAATGGAACACAGGGTTTAGTTCATAAAAATAACAGGTACATCAACTCAAACGTAACATTCACCGATCTTGTACAAGCTAAAATAAAAAGAATCACAACAAAAAAAAGACTATTCTGAGAGTATTATATCAGTGCATATCGTTCGCGGGTCGTAGAATACGGAGATCCAGGGATCTGGTGATGAACCACTATCCGCTCTGATGAGGTATTCCACGGCCCTCGTTCGTTTTATGTGCTAAGCTTATATTTATATATCACATTCAGACGTCTGCTCCCTGCAGCCTTAGTAGCTACCATGATGACCATACTCGTAGTCATGACCATGACCGATTACAACTGGGACGGGGACCTTGACGGGGTAAGGCACGTGTTTCTCGACGGGCACGGCTACTGGCCTGTCGATGTGCACGGGGTAAGGCCTGTCGTAGGGCACTTTGACGGGGTAAGGCACATGCTTCTCCACTGGTACTGGGATGTGCTTCTCGACTGGGTACGGGGCGGGTACTGGCACCTTGACGGGGTAGGGCACTGGTTTCTCAATGTGCACTGGCACTGGGCGGTCGACGGGGACCTTCACGGGGTAGGGGACGGGCTTCTCAACTGGATAAGGCACTGGTTTCTCGACTGGGTAAGGCACGGGCTTGGGAATGTGTACGGGGTAAGGCCTGTCAACGGGAACCTTGACGGGAACATGTACTTCCTTGACCACTGGGTAGGGAGCGGGTACATGGACTGGCACCTTGACTGGGTAAGGGATCTTCTTCTCTACTGGGTAAGGAGCTGGCACTGGGACTTTGACGGGCACTGGTACGTGTTTCTCAACGGGGTAAGGTTGTGGTACGTACACTTTAACGGGGACGGGCCTGTCGACGGGTACATGGACGGGGTAAGGCACCTTCTTTTCAACTGGGTAGGGTTGGGGAACGTGGACAGGTATTTTAACAATCTCCTTGACTGGGTAAGGCACATGCTTAACGACAGGGTAGGGTTGGGGTACTGGTACCTTGACGGGGTAGGGGATTGTCTTCTCTACTGGGACGGGAATGTGTTTCTCAACTGGGTAAGGGACGGGGACTTTCTTGACAAGAGTAACGGTCTTGTGTACTTCATGTCCACCATAACCTCCATAGCCACTGATCCCTTCGCTTAATCCACCGCCGAATCCACCCTCTAAACCGCCATGTCCATAGCCCAAGCCGATGTCGAACAATCCTCTTTTCTCGTGCTTCTTGTCATCGGATGCCGCCTCTTTGTTATCGGTCACTGCCACTTCCTTTTCTGCTTTCTTGGCTTCTTCCGCATGGGAGAAGGCCAAGAGAGCCACCAGACTGGCGGCTACGAGCTGTAACAAACACAAATATTGTTAAAACTTATAACTGATATACGCATAAGTTTAATTTAAAGGTCTGGACAAATAATATTAATAATTATTCTGGTACAAGTTACTACTATAGATGGAAAATAGATGCCTATGATGGATATCAGAGTGTACAAGAGACTTGTAACGGCTAATTAAAAACTACAAAAAGGCTTTGCGCCTTTAATGAGTGGTCAAGTTAATTTGCCTGCACCGTGACACACAAAGCGCGTACGCAATGTTTCCGTATTGCGTAAAACTTAATAAAGTGGGGCAAGGGAATATGCGAAATCCAGGTAATTGCACGTTTTCCAAGCACTCGGCACTGTCACTTGAAAATACCACTATCACCATTAGACTTGTATATTGTGAGTGAACACACCATGGATCTCATGATGCTGCACTGGTAGGTTGCACTGAAGTCAGCGAAGTCCTGAATGCGAATGATGCGTGTTGTTCGTAGCTTCGCTATATATATGCAGTATGAGCGGCCGAGCGAAGAAAAAATGGCCGCTCGGTAGGACTATGTTATACTTTCGCTTTTGGAGTACAGCGTAAACCAAAATGCTCCTTATCTGTCTCATTTGGATATCGATAAGATTTCAATAACGTTAATTGCTTTCTATATCATTACATTATTGCAATTTGTATTCTGAATTAATTATGACGTGACAAAATAATCTTAAAATTAATATTTTAATCTGTTAAATGATAACACACTTAATTTATTAGGACTTAAAAATATACCATAAATTGTTTAATAATATTTATTACGCAATATATTAATAACATTTATAATTTTGAATTAAAATAAATATTTCATATTTTCTTTAAAGTATTTATTAGTATATTTAATAACATTATGTGTCAAAGTACATTTAAAGTTAAAAACTATTATTTTACCGTTCAATGTTAAAGTAATTTAGTCTCTACATTCTACTTATTGTTATTAAGATAAAAACCAGTAGTCCATTATTCCTAATAGTAATAATTTAAGACTTTGATCCACAAAGAACTGACTTCAACCTACATAAATTAAAATAGATTTATTATTATACAAAATGGATTAAAAAAAATGAATTAACAAAATTTCCAAACTTCAGAATTTCCAGAGGTGACGTTTATAAATCAATTGAATTGAGACCATCAATCTCAAGGTTAAAAACAATTGTTCAGAATTCTTTTTAATATTATGAATGTGAAAGTAAATTAGTTACTTCTTGGTGTTAACGGCTTAACCAATCTTCATGCAATTTGGCAACATTTATTTGGAATCGAGAAGCACGTACCCTTAGATCAATCAATCAATCAATATATCTTTATTCAAGTAGGTCTATTACAGATTCTTATGATATGGCAAATCTACCGTTAGTTCGAAGTACTTTTGAGCTAAGAAACAAAAAAGAAACTCATCTCTTATTCTCTTCAAATGAGCTTGTACATGATTATAAAAATACAGATTCATTTCTAAATTAACAGGAATGTGCCGATCACTAGGTATATGCTATTGCATTATTGTCGAAAGAAAATAATTTATTCACTGGCCGTAACCCTAACAAGCATCCTTTAGTTCGACTGAATTTATGTTATATCCATTCATCAGAGTAAATCGTAGGTAAAAACTAGTTTTATCACTTCAATGGGAAATAAGCAAACAACACATTTAATTGAAAGTGGCATGCGCTAACGGTATACGCTGACGAGGCGTCAGTGGATGATGATAGAATTAACATATAGGAATGGTTGACTGAATATGAATAGAATCTTGAACATCACAATATATTGTGGATCTCCTAATCATTGAGACACCTCATCATCATCATCATCATCTTTATCACATTTATTCGTCGTCGTAAAAAGTTTTTCTCTTCTCTTCTCATCCCTGTTCGCAGTCATCTCGTTATTCCTTTCTTATCATAGTATCTTTCACACAGTTCATCCATCTCTTTTTCGGCCTTCTTCTACCCTTATAACCATCCACATTCATATGTAAACATCTTCCTTAATATATTAATTCATCGTTGAGACACCTATACTCTATAATATCACTGACTCAGTTCACCCTTAAAACAGTGTACAAACAAGGTAAAAGTAGAAGATGCAGACCTCTGCACCTGCTCACTTTGACTCACTCACTCACTCATTACTGACCTGTCTTAGTCAGGTCAGTAATAAATCCTGTTATAAGTGAAATCTATGCATAATTTAACACTTAACGTCAAATTTAATCAAAATATATGCTTTATATAATAATTATCGAACCAATAAGTTTATTTAACGTTTACAAGTGTAGCTGTAATTATAACAAATAGTCTAGTTAATGTTTATTAGAACGGACGTTAAAAGATTATACCGAACATGCGAAGGTTCAATAGTTAACCAAAGAGTACCGTTAAATCATCCTGATATCACTTTAATAACCATAAACTATGTGCTATTAAAAAATAATTTACCATTTAAAATCATTCCATAGGAATGTAAATTATTCATAATCTGTACATACTATATAATAAAGTTTCGCGCTACATCTGTCTATATGTTCGCTATAATCTCACACGATACTGAACAGATTTTCATGCGATTTTCATCTATTAACAGTATGATATCTGAGGAAGGTTTAACTGTAGAATTTATATTTTCTTACGATTCGCTGTTATACATAAAATCTAAACACGAATAACAAAAGTCAAAGATCGGCCTCGATGATCTAGCGGTTTGCACACCTCATTACACCCGCAACTGCGATGATTGCGGGTTTGATTCCCGCATAATTCAAACTTTAGTATTCTTTAGTACGACTAATACAAGTAGTATTTATCTTGTTGTTTTCTATATGAATTATACTTATACCTTTTTATATATATATATTTAAGTATTTTGTATCAGTTGTTTAGTATACTATACTTTCTGCCACGCACAACCACATTGTCGAATCAACTTCCTGCAATGGTATTTTCGAATCGATACGATATTGAAGCCTTCAAGAAAAGAGCTTATTCCTTTTTAAAAGGCCGACAACATACTTGCAATTCCCCTGGTGTTGCGGATGCTCATGGGCGGCGGTAATCACTTACCATCAGGTGAGCCGCATGCTCGTTTGTCTACTGTGTTATAAAAAAAATGCATAGTACTAAGATTGCTTAATTTGTATTACAGTATAAATATTATTCTATTCTATTATATTTGAGATTCGATGGCTCTACTATATATCTATTTTACAATTAGGTTATTATTATTAGTAGAGGATCAACTTAACTTTGTACAAAGTTGTATCTTGCATGGCAATAAATAACAATTACGTAGCCGTTAATCTATATAAAACAAAGTTGCCTACTGCGAATATTTGCGCAAGGCTTTGAAAATGAGCTTTGACAGTATTGTTGTTTTATTCTAAATTTAGAAACATGTCTGAAGATTGCCGAATATCGATGAGAGAAATAAAAACTTTAAAATAACCTTTACAATTTAGATATTTCTATGGCGGTATTGTTCTCTTTATTTATAATAAATATACACATTATTTAGTTTCAGCATTTGACAGCCTCAGTGGTCTAGCGGTTACGCACACCACTTTACTTCCGATGGGCGCGGATTCGATTCCTGAAACGGTGCAAACATTTGTATTTATGTGTATGATTGTTTGTATCGGTCTGAGTGTTTTCTATGTGTATTATGTATGTATATAAAAAAAATATATCTAAGTGTTTATACCAGGTGTCTAGTACCCATAACACAAGCTCCGATTACCGTGGAACTACAGAGAGCTATGGTAATTGTCCAGGTTTATTTATTTATTTAACATAATATATTTCCTAGGAAAGTACGTAAACACAATAATACATTACAAAGAAATATTAATTTAGAGTAAGTTTAAATACTAGACATATATTCATTAGATCCTCGGATTGTTACCGGTGTTTCCATTACCGGAGAGTTTGTCAGAAAACGCAAAATTTTTGGTGTCGACTAGATTCGAAGTCACATCCGCCATGTCTATGTTAGAGTACTCACACTTGCAGCAATACAAATATGTATATTACGCCAATATCACATTATCTTTATTCATGTAGGTTTATTACAGACTTGACTTTTTTTTTTACTACTATGATGACAAACAAGCATACGGCCCATCTCTTATGATATGTCAGATCGTAGTGCTTTCGAGCTCAGAATAACTGACAAGAAACTCAGCTCTTTTCATTTTCAAAAGAATTTGTACATGTTTACAAAAATACAAATTTATTTTTAAATTCAAATTTAATAGAATAGTAATTAATGTATAACTATTAATTAAAAAAGGGGACTAGGTACTTTGAAAAGCTCGAGCACAATAGATCTATATAGGTCACAGTGCAACAGGTTCATGTATCTGATAATAGCCCAAACAACCCAATAAAAATATATAAATAAATAACTATTAATTAAAAAAGTATTAGATCAAGTCTGTAATTTTACATAACTACCTTTCATACTGTATCCACTTGTACTTTCATCTCGGAACTACATACAAGCCATCTCGTTACACATATCGGGTTTAAAATGTTTAATTACAGTTAAGAAATTGTTAAAAAATTCGTATTACAGTAACTCACCTTCAAGACGAAGTGTTGAATTGCGAAAATTAACTGAAATATAGCCCAGTTATAAATATTTAAAGATCGTTTAAGTGTTCAGTGATGCCACTTATACTCATTTTTAGGTGCTAGCATGTAGGTTAACTTAAACTTGAAGTTTATAAACAGTAATAATAAATAAATAACCCTGGACAATTTACACAGCGCCGTCTAGTCGCACGGTAAGTAGAGCGTCTGTTATGGGTACTAGACAACTGATATATATATTTAGATAGTTTTTATTATGTAAATACATACATAATACACATAGAAAACAGCTAGATCGATACAAACAATCATACTCATGAATACAAATATTTGCACCGTGCGAGGAATCGAACCATTATAAGTAAAGCGGTGTGATTAAACGCTGAAAAACCGAGGCTGTCAAATATGATTACTAAAATAATATATATATACTCAGAGTAGGAAACTCAGGATTATACTGCATTATACTACTATATACTATTACTTACTAATATATTTGTCGCTTCAAAATGAGAATGGTCTAATTGGAAGCCTTTTTCTGAAGTCGGTTAATAGTCATTAAAGTTTATTACTTTTGTCTTAAAAATAATGATTATGGATACACGTCGGTCGTGATCATTAATAGTGGTATCGAACTGGCTCATGATCATAAATAAAATTGGGTCACGAACCGCACTGTCAAGCACGATACAAAATTAATGTTAAAATGTTTAGATCTCTTGTAATTAGAATTGTATACAAGTTGATTATAGTTTTATATGTGGGTAGAACCATATATAACATAATGTAGAACTAAAACTTTGTTCAACAACCGATGGGCAATGGATCCCTAAGTAGAGTTAATAACCGTTCC